GTCTTTTACCATCAATGATAGCGTGGAGCTGTTGTTATTAATGCTAATATTCGTGTGTGTGTTATATTCGTTTAGAAACATAATGAGATGAATTCTGTCATCTGGTTGAAGTTTACGTGAATTCTGTAGCGGTGAGGACACTATGTCATCTCGTTGAAGTTTACGTGGAAGAAGTTCTTAAACAAGAACTCTTGGAGCTCTGTTATCATTCTAATGTAATCCATTACAGACTCTGTAGAAGACCGTGTGTATTCTTGTGGTGAGCGTGTCGGGCTGTGGATCGAAGGGTCCAGGATTCGAGACGTGAACCCATAGAACACTCTCCTTATTTTCAGCTATGAGCATATAACAAAACTGTTAGTCAGTCCCATTATTTGGTTCAAAGAGTCAGTCAGTACCATGGGAAAATTAATTAAAAATTAGGGACGGCTATACCTGAACCCTAGAGCTGGGATCTCTGACGTGGTCATTTAGCCCACGTACGAAAAATTCGAATTCCAGTTTCTTGTATTTCTTAGAAACCTATAAGTTTAAACGGAAATTAAAACTAAAATCTAGAGAATTATGACTTCTGTGTAATAGTGCTGGACAATACAAGTCATGTCATTTCCATGCTTAACAATTACACATTGAAATGTTTTTCTCCAAGATATCAAATTTCAATATCTTTAACCAATACTCCTGCGATTAATTTGCTATAACAGCAAATTTCTAAAACGTTTGAACTAAGACTTCTATAATTAATTTGCTATAACAGGAAATTTGTAAAACACTTCATCAAGACTCTTGTGATTAATTTGCTATAACAACAAATTTCTAAAACGTTTGATCGGGACTTATGTGATTAATTTGCTATAACAGCAAATTTCTAAAACGTTTGAACTAAGACTTCTATAATTAATTTGCTATAACAGGAAATTTGTAAAACACCTCATCAAGACTTCTGTGATTAATTTGCTATAACAACAAATTTCTAAAACGTTTGATCGGGACTTATGTGATTAATTTGTTATAACAGGAAATTTCTGAAACGTTTGACACAGGACACCTATGACTCGTGGACTCGTATACCAAAAATTCAGATTATGCCCTAACTGCTAGTTTTTCCCCGGAATAAGTCATCGTGAGGAGGAAAAATTACTATCACTTTTATTTCTAAGCATTTTATAATAAAATATTTGTTACTGATTTGGTTCATGTCGGCGTGTCTACTACACATGTTGGTCGTTGTTGTAAGTTTGAATTATACCGATAAAGTTCAGTAATACATGATAATTGTAAAGTTCATCGCGCCATATCTCACAAACGGTATGGTATAGGAAGGTCAAATTGAACAAGGGTTTTCAAGGTTATGCGGATAGATGAAAATGCCACAATCGTCACATTTTGCCACCAGGGGTATCACTGCGGTTTCTTTTGCATATTTTCCACGGATATAAATAGGCCTGTTGATCGCAGTGCAGATCATTCAACCAGTTTTCAGAGAAGTTAACTAGTGAATTGCTACTACACCAAAGGATGTAATGCCAACGCACTTCTTATGGAATACCATAGAGTGCATAACATTTGCAGAAAGCCTTGTTCCAGTGTTGCTATGTGCAAGCCCAAATGACGAAATGGCCGGCCAATATCTAAAGGACTAATGAAGCACCTTTCTGGAAGTTTCAACATGTGCAACCTCATTATGAAGTTGGAAACTAATCCACATCTAACACATCATACACATCTCCATGATACTAATGTGACAATGTAGTGTGGTATCACAGCTGACTTTAATATTGGCTCATAGTATTTTTTTGAAGAACCATCAGCATATGGACTGCAAACCTGAACAATCAATGCTGCACAGTACCATGCTATATTCGCAACGAATGTGATTGCTATGTTGCAACAAGTAAATGTAGTAGACGCTATGGTTTTCATGAAGGATGATGCCCCTCCATGTATTGGTAACCAGGTGGACTTGTATAGCGGAAACAGGATATAATCATATCACGTCACTTCCCGTGTGAATGGCCACCTATTTCACCAACCTAACTCCAATCGATTTCTGGTTATGGGGGGGGGGGGGAGTACCTGAAGTCACGCGTTTACTGTGGGAAGCCTCACACAATTACAGACTTCATGGATGCAATTGTCCGGAAAGTGGCCAACATCCCAGATGAGACGCGTGTTGTTAATGTAATGTCAATTGCCACGCAGAAGCAATGTATACTGAACGATGGAAGATCAACTTTTGAATAGTTGCTGTGAGTGATCAGACATTAAGTAATAGTAGCGCCGCTGGTGGCAAGTGTGACAGCTGTAGCATGATGCCTTTACCACCTTTGTGCAGTATCACCTTTATGTACCAAACTGCAAAACTGTTTGAAGTAACATATCTAGCCTTTCCTAATATGTGTGTGTGTGTGTGTAAATATAAAAGTATTGGAAATAATTATGAACACGTTGTATGAAATTTGGTATAATACGCAAATATCATGATATTGCCCCCACTCTACTGTACGAATATGATGG